CTATCATGGGTTTAGGACCCTAATTGGGCTCTAATTGGACCCACATTCGTTTATTTCAATATTTTGGGCTAAGTAGAACCTAGAATGAAATAAAACACAAGTTTTGATCCATAACTTAACCTAACCTAGCTTATTAAAGCATAAAAATCACAATTTTATTTTATAAGGCTAATAAGCACCCAAAACTAACTCTAATTTTGGGCTTAAGGGAAAAAGCCCAAATTTTTCTTTTCCCTCTCTAAAATCTCGGCCCAAGGCCCAAACACAAGAAAGAGTTGACTTTCAAGTGACACCTCATCTTTACCCATAGGATATCCATGCATTATTCTCATTTCTCCATGCACTTCACTTCAAAGATCACTTCACTTCTTCTCTCCTCTCTCACTCTCGGCCATACACCCACACACACACACAAAAATCTCTCAAATTCTCTCTAGATCACTCAAGAACTCTCCTTCCTCCCCTCTCCAAAATCTCGAAAATTAGGAAGCATTCAAGGAGGTTCTTCCACAAAAATCAACATCTAAGAAACCCCCATAATCTCGAAAAGTTCATCAAGGAGTGCAAAGGCCAAAAATCACTTCATTTCTTCCAATCTTTCTTCAAAAACCGAATCAACACCCCAAGGTGAGCTTCATACCCCCTTTTTTCTGTTTTCACTTGTTTTTGGGGGAGAATACAAGTCATATGTGTAGATCTATATGTATTTGTGTGCCTTGTATGATTTTTATGCTTATATGTATGCTTTTATGTGTTTTTATGTTGGATCTAGCCTCAAAACTCATCAAAACCGAGATGTAACTTGTGCTACATGATTTTAACTTCAAATATATTTCTAAACACTAAGTGCTTCAAGAAAAATTGGCTAAGTAGTTAATGATAATTTCTTTGGGTTAAAAATACAAATTTTGGGCCTAAAATGTGAAAAATGCAAAAATAAGGGTCCAAAACGACATTTCACAGATTCTGATGGATGAAGTGTGATAAAACAGTTTTCATAAGTAAATTTCTGGAAATATACTCATTTAGTGGACTAAAATCATAAATTTTAAGCTTAATGGGCTAAAAACGAAATTTTCGGCCCAATAAGGCCCATTATGCGAATTTTTCTGTTTTGGAGGGCCAAAACTGTAACTTTCCGTAAAACAGTGGACTATAAGTGTTCCAACTCCTTTTTAAAGGTTAAAAATGCTTTTTAAATTTAAAAAGGACCAAAATTGCAAAAATTTTCCAAATTGGGCCAAAATTGTAAAAGTTGCGAAAATAAGGGGTTAAAACCGTAAAAACTGCATTTCCAGGAACTTAAACTGTTTTTATGAAAAATATGTTGAAAAATATTAATTTCAATAATTTTTGGTAGTAAAATGTCAAGAAAAATAGTTGGAGGACTAAACCGGGAAGTATTTTATATAAAGGGTTAAAAATGTAATTTTTACAAATGATGAGGGGCTGAAAACAAAAATATTTCAAGGCTAGTTCAATATACACAATTTGATCAAATAATGGCATCGTGACTATCGACGAAATTCAATACACTACAATACCAAAAGTCGTTGTTAAACGAATTGGTTCGGTCTCGAATCAATAAAATCCGAAAACTACTAACACTACGACGCTATGACACTACGACACTACGATTCATACAACTAACGATTTGGAATTCACTATACATACGAGTGTGCACAGACGTCTACGCACCATCTTCGGGCCCCAAAAGTGTAAAATCTTGTTCATTGAGCCTAGCTAGCCCAAATGACCTGATCTTAAGGCCCGAAGACCTCTATCTTACGAAGTGTTGGGTTTTACCAATCCGACACGACGTAACCGGACTTTCAATGGCTGTAGACTACCGGTCCCCAAGGGTCCTTTAGTGTCGCCAGTGGAGTCTGCATTTTTGCGAGGCGGGTCTGGGACCCCTCGTACACTATATCCCCAACCGGTTAATGGAGTCACCGGGGTCTTCGTGACCTCTTTCTCTTCGGATGTGGGACCACTAATAGTCAGGGCGATTGGATAACGCGATTAGTACTGACGACGCCTTCGGGTTCGTTAGTATAACTATAAACTGGGCGTTTGTGTAACGCGGGTTTGTAGTAAATAATCCTGCTCGAGAACCTTCCAACGTCGCCTGTGACTGACACTATGCGCTATGCAATGATTTCAATGTAACTTCATGTAATATAAGAAATTAGGAAAACATCGGGTTTTCCTAGGGTTTTGTTTTAATACATACAGATTCAAAACGCATACAACCTTGATGAACAAATTTTCTTTAAGTATAGAAACAAACAAGCATACCTATGGATCTTCACAACATTTTCAAAAGCTTTTCTGTTCAGAAAATATCGGATTTTCTGGTGGTTTTCAAACAATACAAAACATTGGATTTCAAACACTACTTATGAACTCACCAACATTTCATATGTTGACGATTTTCAAAATACTTGTATTCTCAGGGAACCAGTGAGTCAAGGGAAATCCTATTCAGTGACGGATGCGGTTTATTTTTGTATGAATTGAACGAATTAATTTTTGGGGAATGTAATGTTTAAACAATGTATGATGTGTAAACGCTATTGGTTGTATTATATTAATGCATGGTGACGAATGTTGTTATGATTCATATATATTCAATGTTATGGTATTCAATTGAGTCACGGCAAGCCCCCGGACGTTTCCGCCGTCTGGTTCGGGGGTGTGACATCTCCCCTTCGGTCCTCTCGACCGGACACTAGGGACTATTTCACCCCTACCACTACCACAGATCATCATATCATATTAGCACATAAACATAACGCAGGTAGCAGCAGCCCTAGATTAATATCATAGAGACAATCATTGAAGCATACACTCCTACTAGTGGGCCGACATTGTGGCCTTAGACCCACTGCTACTGGAAGGTAACTCACCTCGTAGTAGCTGCTGAACTATGCAGGAATCCTCTGACTGCTGTCGCTGCTGCTGCTCCAGAAATCCTCCGGCTATAATTCCCAAAAAACACTCAGTCAGAAACTGACATCTATTCTTAGGGTAAAATGACCATTTTACTCTTGACCAAGTCAAAGTCAAATTCAGCTTCTAGCTGACCTGACTCAGCGAGTTGGCTCGCCAACTCGCCGAGTCCCTATCCTTCCATTAGACCTCAAACATGTCTCTACTCGTCGAGTTAGGAGATGACTCTACGAGTTTCCCTTCTAAAAGAACACCGACTGAATCCACATCCGACTCGCCGAGTTGTAGGAACAACTCGTCGAGTACCTTGAAGATTGCCTTGGACTCGCCAAGTCCGTTCATGCACTTGCTGAGTACTATGAATTCCCAAAACACTTTGCTTACTCCAAAATGTTGGGTCACTCCCCGGGACTCCTAAAAACCCTTCCACACTCAACTTGTCCTTATGACCCTCACTGATATGGGACCAAAACCCCTGGACTCGTCAAGTCCAAGAATGGTCTCGCCGAGCCTATCTCATTCCTTACCAAGAATGTCGATTTCTGATGTACAACGCTTAACCAAATGATAGATCCAAGCCCTTAAACTCGATCTAGCACGTAAAGTTACAAACTTTACATGCACGCATGGGACATAAGAGCTTAAAAGGCTCTAAAATGGTTCTTTTGTTGCATGGGGCCTTCCTTGGTGCAAAAAGCAATCTAGATCTGACTTGTAGCTCATAAAATGATGTGATACAAAAGCCTAAACCCCCAACCATGTTTGCAAACATGGTTGGCCACAAAAAAAGGCTTAAAAAAAACCTAAATCACCTCAAAGAGGGATCTAACAAATGAATGAGCAAGGTTCAGACTTTACACCTTCCAAAGACCGCAAATGATGAACCAAACTCGAATCCTTCAGTCCGCTCTTGATCCTTCTATGCTCTTCCTTATTCCTTGAGATCAAAACTCACAAGAATCACTCAAAAGCCTTAGATCTTCACAAAAACGTCTAGGGTTTTCTATGAGGAGCGTTTGGGAGCATTAAGGGGGAAAGGAAGCTGCATAAGGTCGTTTAAATAGGGTGCAAACCCCTGGATTAGGGTTTTTGTCCAAACAGCGACTACTCGTCGAGTCCGGGAACCGACTTGCCGAGTCCGCACCTCATCCCGCTTCTACTCGGCGAGTCAGTCCTTCGACTCGCCGAGTCCAAGGCTAAAAATGCAAAAATAATTGAAGATTTAATAACAGAGTACGTACCAAGAACCACGTTCTACATATGAACTTTGATTTCTTAGTTTGGGATCAGAAACATGTCAAAATTTAAACATAATGAAATTCAATTTCTCTACTTTTGAACAAATAAAGTTAACATTGAAACAATAAACACAAATAATGAACACAAACAAAACAAGAACAACTATTGGATAAAATAGTACTTGATGATCATAGAGTAAGAGATGTATAAAAATATAAAAAATGACAAAAGTTGGCATACAACTGGATAGAATATTATTTGGTTAATTCCTTTGATCCTCCATACACAATGAGTACACAATAGAGTAAGGAGCTTTTCAAACTGTATAAAGAAAGAACCAGTATACAACTTAAACTAATATTTCAAAATCGACTTTATAAAGAAAAGACCTGACTAGAGCAAAACGCCAGAATGTCCTCGAAGTTACTATTAGAATTAAAGATTTCCTAAATATTTTTCAGTGAAAGGAGTCAGACCACATTGTAGAAGGACTATAAAGTATAAAAGGCTTCAAGTATAAGTAAAATAGTCTGTAATCTGATGTAACTCCATACTAATCGAAAAGTGTATTAACATAATAATAATCAATTACCATGAAGATTACTTACATAATTAAGCAGGAGAAATTGTTGAGTTTGAAGGGATTAGGAAGCAAATCCCTAACAAAATCAGATTCTGTTATCTTCAATATGCAAAGCAACGATAAAATCTAATCAAAACTTGCATTCGTATGTTGAATGATCAAAAGTAATTTGGTACCATTATGTATATTTGAAGCTGATAAGCATGAACCTGAGGCACACCATTATTTACCTCTTTTCACCACCAGTATAATACTCCTGGGGCTTATCAGAGTCACTTCCGGTGTTATCACCCTGTCGATTCAGATCTGAGAAAGTCTGTATGCGTCCAGTAGATAGACTACCTATATAGACTACCTAAAGACTTGTTATCCAAAGAGGTTTTCCAAGATCCTAGATTGTAAGGATTTTGTAAACCAATAGCAGGAGGTGGGGAGGCTGATCAGAAGAGAGATGGAGAAGACACGAGAGTCTCTTTTTTGGCAGCAGCCGCTTCGAAGAAGGTGGAGACGGCGGAATCGAGATCGAATTTGTGCAACTCGAGGAAGAAGGATGCTTCTTCTTTGGTAGCAGAAGTTATCTCTAAGAATGCTGCGATCATTTCTTGGTGAGCATCTCCGCTAATGTTGGTTGTCGGTGTGTCTTCCATTCTGGGTTTTCTTGGGTGAGAGTTAACGTATCAGTCCTTCCGCGTATATATCACAGCGACCAAAATTTCATTTTGTTAAGCTCCTCCTACAAATTTGATCAGAAACAGGGGATATCGATGGAGACATAAGGAAGACGATGAAGAAGGCGATCATTCGATGTGGTGGCGAATACTGGAGACGGCCATATATTTCAGATGATGGTGTTGGATTTCATCAAACATTCAGCGATGAACATGTGAGAGAAAGATGTAATTGAAGGATTAAAGAGAGAAAGTCTGAATTTGGGGGAAATATCAAGTCGATGATTTGTAGAATCAGTTTTTTTATACCCAAATTACCCCCAATGATTTTTCTCAATAAGACCTAATAAATCACTAATTTTACTAACATTTACAAAGTATGCGACTGATTATCTAAGTCATCCAAACAACTAATCAAACAATCCACTTTTAGTTCTCAGGTTCTCCGGAATATATAAGTTCTCAAATGATCATTCCTATATATATATATATATATATATATATATATATATATATATATATATATATATATATATATATATATCACTACAAGAAAACAGCCCTTTAATGACGCGCAAACAATGACACTTGCTGATAGACGACGCACATTTGTAAGTGCCCTAAAAGATAATGTCAATTTTGCAAAATTTGAAGGATAGAGGGCACGCATTCGTGCACGCCCTAAAATTAGTGTCAGAAAAGAAAAAAAATGTGGAGGGCGCCTTTCATAAAATGTGCGTCATGTAAATGTGTCGCTTTATAATTTTTAAGTGAAATACGCGTTTTAGGCGGGAAATGAAATCGATGAAAATTATCCCCGCCTATTGAATCCCAAAAATTAATCGCCCCGCCTTTTCTACTTAGCAAGAAAAAGCCCTAGGTCCCTCATCTTCATCTTCAGTATCATCAAACATCTCATTCATCGGATCTCTACTCGATCTCCTTCTTATCAGTATCATCAAACATCTCGTTCATCCTCTGCATTATTTCCATCGTTCTTCCCTCTCCTCACTGATCAATACCCAAAAAACCATAATATCATAACCACTCCTCTTTTCTCGCACAACAAAATTCCAAAACATCACCAAATACTAAATTCCACAAAATCGTTGTGACCATTTTAGCTAGGGCTTTTTTCACAAACGAAAACACTCTTGCATATCTCCTACCTCTGAAACAATGGATGATTCACCTTGCTTCGCCTTTGGTCACTTCTCCTCCGGCGACGTGAGGCCTTCCTCATTACAAATCGACCAACGATAAGCTAATACTTATAACAAAATCGTTTCACTCTCAATTGGGTGTGCGACTCCTCCATCGCACTGATGACTACGAATTTAACTCTTTCACCACACCTGTGATTGCGTACCGTCTCACCTCCCTGGCCGCTACCTTAATAGGTTTATCTATTCAATTAGATTTTTCTTTTCAGTTAGAAATCGATTTCGTCCGTTCCCCAGCTCTTCATCTCTTTACTAAAATCGTTGTTCATCTATCCACTAAAATCTTCACGGTTTCTTTAATTTCACTCCAAGGGTTATTTGATAGCTCTTGTATGGTTTATTCCCTATACTGAATCGAGAGTCAAGGTTGTTGGTATGAATTCACAATTCCCCTTCAATGCTTCATCACACATTTAACACTAGATCTTCGGATTCTATAACTATTAGGGTTCAATTGATCGAGGAGCGTCGTTTAACTCTTCATTTTTCCTGATTTTGGGTTGATTTACGTTTGGAATTTTGTTAATTTTGGAATTAGGTGCAACTTTCCTATTGCTGAGACTTCTGCATCCCTCCCTTCAGCGTCGTTGCCACCCTTTAATTTGCACCGCCTCCGTTGTCGGCTTCCCCTGTACCTCTGATAACTTCTCCATTCATGCTTCCACGTCCTCCAACTTCTGCAGGTAAGGTTTCCATTTCCTTCTCATTTGAAAATCACGTTCTAGATGCGTAAATGTAGTTCTTCTAGAACTGTTTGAGGCTGAAATTGAGTTCCAGATGTGTATATTTAGTTTTTTTTTGTCTTTTCTTTTTCCTCTAAAAATCGAGTCCCTCGTCTATGGTAATTCATTGGTCTAAGTAACATATTTCTTTAAGTTTGACCAAATAACATTCAAAATCCATATCAGATCAAAAAGTTATTTATTCCATTCATCATGTTTTTATTTATTTTCTTTGAATTCAAGATTCAAGATCTGGGGGTTATCAACCATCAGTGCTAGCTCTAGCTACAATGCTTCATATCATAGATAAAGTTGACTCTTTAAACTATATGTGACTATCCGGATTAGCTTCTTGATGTACTCAAAAGCACCGGATATTAGAAAAGTTAGAAACAAGGCTTTCTTTAAGGGCAAAAAGGGAATTTGTGATGTTGTGTTTGATCACGTAAGGATGCGGTAGCTTTTAATTAGATTAGTAGCAGGTGTAGTAAGTATAAAATTGAGTGAAATGCTTGGTTAATTAGCTCTTCTGTGTAGAGCTCTAAATCCTTTGTATGTAGTTTTGTGCCCAGCCAGCTTCTAGCTTGGTTATTTCAGTTTTCTAAAAAAAATATATCACATCATAATTGCAGGACGTTCTAGACAATGGGATGGATGTGGCGGTAAAGATACTATCAAAATCATCTGGACAAGGTTCACAAGATAAAATGAATTAATATTATGTCGTGGTCATATCGGAGATGAGAAGCTTCAATGCTGTAAAGTTTACTGAATTCCTCACTTGGTTGTAATGGATTCTACACATCTAATTTGGGTTTTTATTTTTTATTTAATCGATCATTGATTTTAGTCTAAACCATGTTTGAGTTTTGTTACCTAAGATTTGGTAGATCTCAGTATCAATTCTGATGATCGAGAAATTGATTAATCTTTTTTTATGTTGTAGATGCAACTTGGTACACATTCCTTCACTTTCAATCATGTATATGGAAGCTCTGGTTCCCCATCATCCTCCATGTTTGAAGATTGTGTTTCTCCTCTTGTTGAGGGTCCGTTTCAAGGATATAATGCTACTTTTCTAGCTTATGGCCAGGTATAAATTTCTCACGATTCAAGTAACAAAGATGTATTCTATTGTTTATCATAGTTCTTTGCGTGTTGATTCAAGTAACAAAAATGTATTCTATTGTTTATCATAGTTCTTTACGTGTTCTAATTTCACAGACCGGTTTAGGGAAGACATACACCATGGGAACCAGATTCAAAGATGGTTACCAAACCGGAGTTATTCCTCAATCCATGGCTGCTTTATTCAACAAAATCGAAAGTTTACAGGATCAAATAGAGTTCTAGTTGCATGTTTCCTTCGTCGAGGTGTGTTTTTTATACCTATAACTATAATTGTAAATAGCTTTCTTACTTTACACCTGACTGAAAGATTTTACTATGAAGATTCTAAAAGAAGAAGTGTGAGACTTTTTGGATACTAAATCTGAGATATCATCAAATGGGCAGAATGAGAAAGTGAATATTCTAAGGAAACTTCTAATGGTGTCATAACGCTTGCTGGATCTACTGAATGTAGTGTTAAGACATTAAAAGAAATAAGTGATTGACTTAAGCATGGATCATTGAGCAGAGCAACATGAAGTACAAATATGAATAATCAATCAAGGTAATTAATCTTTGAGTTGTCTTTTAATTAATATAATATATTATATATGACATATATTATATATATTTATGATATTTTCAGCTTTTTGTGTAGTCGATCACATGTAGTTTTCACAATCACATTGGAACAAATGAACAAGACAATCTCGAATGATTCTATGTGTGATGAATATTTGTGTGCCAAATTGCATTTAGTTGATCTTGCTAGTTCAGAAAGGGCTAAAAGAACAGGACTGAAACCAGGACTGAGTGGACAAAAGTTGTAGCTTTTGTCTCACACAAATGACATAAATGCCCTCATCCTCATTATTGGAAAAAGGAAATAACCTGTCTGATAACTTGATTTGTTGAACATGAGTTCATATTTATAAGGGGCTTCTTGCACTTGGAAATGTCATAAGTGCCCTTGGTGATGAGATAGTAAACTTACTTGCCTCATGTTGGTTGGATATTATTAATTAACTATTTTTTAAATGCAAATCGGTTTATTGCTTTTAGTTTAATCTAAATATGTTTTACCAAACTGATAGGACTCACTTGGTGGGAACAACAGAACTGTTATGATAGGTAACATATATAATTTATAGTATTGTTTACTATTTATAATTATAATTTTGCTTGTTATTTAAACTCTTTGGTACTAAGTAAACATATAATTTTTCCTAATTTCAGCTTGTGTTAGTCCTGCTGATATAAATGCTGGGGAGACTCTCAACACTTTAAAGTATGCAAACATGGATCGAAATATATAGAATAAGCCTGTGGTAAGTTTGAGTTATATGCTAGAAATAGCAACCTGCTTTCATTTATTTGCTTATTATAGAAAAAGTATTACAGTGAGATGTTATATATAATACACAAATAAATCATTACTTTTTTAAACAATATAATAGGTGAATAGGGATCCGGTGTCTAGTGACATGTTAGAAATGCATCAACAACTGGAATGCTTGCAAGCAGAACTTTGTGCTCGTGGTGGAGGTTCTACTGTTGAATTATAGGTATAAATTATAATATGAATATCATATTTATTTTATATAATAAACCTTTATTCTTTAATTTCTTATAAATTTGTTGTATCGCATAAAAAAATTAGTGAAAGTGGTATGTTTTTATTTGAAGTTTTTTACACAAAGCTAAAATTATTTGTATTTCATCTTCTTTTTTAATCATAATGAATATAGCCAATTCTGGTGTGATAAGGAGGAAACAACAAAAGAGTTGGAGCATACTCTTCTCCAAGACTTCACGGATAAAGAGGTACATGAGTTAAATAAAAGTTTGGATACTTTTTGATAGAAATTTATAATTTTTAATGCATAAATGCATCATTATCAAAGGGTATTTAAGACATTTGGTGAATATTTAAAACAAGAAGTTATTATTGCAGATGCTTCGTTCTGATCCTGCTTATGACAAGTCACTTCAGCAGCTAAAATGCTTCTTGAGGTTAGTAGTGGACAAATGAGTTGGATTGGAATCACTAAATCCTCCAAATGTGACAGAAAATCCGGATCGGAATCAGCATCTTATGTTCTCAGAAACAGGAAACAACAAAACATGTAACAGTTTTGGTCCCTAAATTTTTGGTCCTTGTACAATTTTTGTCCCTGCAACAGTTCTGGTCCCTATGGTTTTGGCCCAATTATAGTTTTTTCCCTCTCTCTCTATAGCTAGTGTGGTATTACAACTTCCTTCAATTATTTGATATCATAATTTCCATTCTTAACCATTTTCATCTTAAAATGTCATGCAATATGTTGTATTTGGAGATAGCTTTTTACTTTTTATTAATTTTGATGAATGTTTATTTTCAGATACACCCTGATATTAGATCCAAATTCTAACGGTTACTTTGATTTGATGATTAAGGTACAAAAAACTAAATTTTTGATTCTATTGATGACAAAAATCATGTAGTTGCTAGTGCAGATTTAGTCAGTGGCATCCATTTGCTCCAGGTATAACCAATCATTAGCATTGTTATCTTTAATGATATTCTTTAAATAGAATTCCTAATTATATTGTATTTGTTGTTGTATATTAGACAAATCCAGAGATTCTGAAGAGATGGAACAACGAGGTACGAGAAGTTGTTCAATCAAGGGTTGCACTTGTACAGTTTCATGCACTTATTCAGCTCCACCAGGTATAACTAAAGCCTAAAGGCTTAATCACAAAAATGACCAAAATGACCATGCACATTTAATGTGATAATTGTCGACATTTGTTCCATTAATTTAATTAATTTTATATATTTTCAGATAAGACAAAATGACCAATTGGATGTTAGCAAATTAGTTAACAGTTTAACAAGGGGTACCGTTCGTTCGCCTTTAGCCCAATGCCTTTTAATTTGTTACACAAGTCAGGTACTCTTTAATTTAAGTAATGATTGCCACCTGTTATATTTGAAGCTGCAAGGGCAATAACGGAATTAAACGTTGTTACTAGTAGAGAATTGACTCCTCCAATTAATTGGTATTGTACAACTAACATGATTATTGTGTAGGATTTCCGTGTTATTCTTGATAAAGAGTTGAGATTGATATTGAAGCTAAGAGACATGAAGAAGGGTTTTAGAGCTTCTTCTGACAACTTAATGACGAGTTACTAAAACAAGAAGGTGCCCCTTTATAGCAATGTAGTATTAGGTTATATTGTTAGGGAAAACCTCTTAATAACAATGTAAATTTAATTTATATATTGTAAGAAATAGAATTGTATGACATTAAATTTTATGCAATGAATTGTATTTTTTGTATATGGTATTTTATTTCTATTATGAGACATAAAATGCAAATTTAATTTGAAAAATAGTAAATCTATAAATAATTTTTAAAAAATAAAATAAAAATTACGATACGCAAAAATGTGTGTCATCTTCCTTTATGACATGGCCTTTCTTGACATCGGCTTAAATGATACGCATTGCGTGTCATAAATGCGCATCGTCTATCGACGACGTGCAAAAACGCGTCGTCTCTCTTTATGACAGGGCCTTCCTTGACGCGCATCTGCGCGTCGTCTGAGCGTTTTACGACGTGCAATGAGCGTCGTAAAAGGCCTTTTTTCTAGTAGTAGTAGTAGTAGTAGTATATATATATATATATAACGTCTGTGTTTCTGGGCTTGTCATTAATGTTGATGTAATAGTCTAGGTTAACCTTTGTAACCCATTTTGAAATAATACAAGTGTATTATTTGAGTATTATGTGTTTTGTGCTTAACTGTGTGACTTAACTAGATTAAGAATAAAAATAAGCATCAAAATGAAATGTTAGATAAGCTCGATATCTATGGATAATGTTGTAGTAGTTGAAATGAGGATTCCGAATATATAAAGAATGTCGAAATCCGAGTTATAACGAAGAAGTTATGACATGTCGAAGTTTCGCGTCAGAACTGGCATGACACGGAATGATGTAAATACAAGTTTAAGATAGAGCGATATCTAGCCTTAGTAATCTAAACGAAAATCGTAGAATACGTTAAACCGGGAGTTTACATAAAAAGAATGCCCAAATCTGACTTAGTATGAGGAAGTTATGATTTTTCGAAGTTTCGACTTACCAGTATGCAGCCCAACTACTCAATTTAAGACCGAGCGGTTTTTAGCCGAAACAATCTAAATGAGAATCTAAGATCTCGTTAATTGTAGTGAAACGATGAAAAGATAGGCAAAATCGGACGTCGGATGAAGAAGTTATGATTTTATAACGGAGTTTTCCTATCCCGGCATACTAAAAATAAATAATAAAAATAAAGTAAAAATTAGCCAACAAAGTCTAAACGAAAGTTGTAGAGCGTAGTCTCACCTACGCGGGGATATAAAGAACGTCTAAAACGGAGTTCGTATGAGGAAGATATGAAGTTTTGAATTTTATTTAATAATTTCGGTATTTAAATTTAATTAAAAATATTCGATATTATCCAAAGGGGGGAAGTCAGCGACCCTATCCTCATTACGCCCAGTGTAATTTCATTTACGCCCAACGTAATTTGGGTTTCCAGTCCCCTATAAAAGGAAGTCGAGTGCAGCCGAGTTCTATTGCTCCATTCTTCCTTCCTCTCGCGTTTTTACCCCGTTTTACATGCTAGAAATATCCCGAAGTCTCGGTATCATTCCCGAGTCCCGAAGCAAGTCCCGAAGCCCCGAAGATCCCGAGAAGTACAATTTCCGAGTTGAAGCTCTGACCACTAGGAGCCCGATTTTTGTGAAGATCTTCTAGATCTACCGAATAATACTACTTCTGCAAGTCGTAGTGTTGTCCGATCATCTTCTGATCAAGTGAGTGTGTAGTTACTTTCTTCTAACGCATAATTATGAAGTATTTTATATAAAATACGTATTATGTGTATATTCTGTTGTTATAAGTGTGAATGTATATTCACTTTCTTCTATCTCATAGATCTGATTTATTCTCTATGAAATACGTATTATGTGTATATTATGTTGTTATAAGTGTGAATGTATATTCACTTTCTTCTATCTCATAGATCTGATTTGTTCTGTATGAAATACGTGTTATGTGTGTGTGCCTCATCTGTTATATGGAATATGTATTGATTGAACATGCTATACTGGTTTTAAACTATGTATAAAAATATATATTTTTATCTACTAATATGTTGGGTAGAACATGGGTAGATAGTTGATGTATGATAAATAGATGAGAGGCCTCGATGTTGTTGATGTTGACCTAGTCATCTAGCGGAGTATGGATGAGGACCACGGACCCTTTCTAGACAGTCGAGTGGAACGCTAGCAGGTTTATAACCCGAAGGTGTTGTGAACGATGTGTTCACCGGTGTACTCTATCCCCCTCATGGTTTCCTTTAGGATATCTATTATTGAGGAAACCCCTTAGTAGTAATGTCCGTCCCGATAAAAATCATAGATTAGGTCCTTGAGATAGATGTTGTTTTAGGGACATAAAAGGAGGATAATAGGTATGAGTAATCGGGTTATTGTTGGTTGGTGAAATTAAATATAATTATTTATTGTGGGTTGAAAACCCTATATGTTCACCAGGCTCCCAAGCCTGACTCACTCAGTTTATTCGTATTACAGGTAGTGGCGTGAGGGCATAAGATGGATGAATCATCAAGTTGTTTTGTTTATAATTCTGTATATGTATATATTTGTTGAATGACTTGTAATGTTATCGTTTATGCTTTATGGTCTGTATCGGAACATGACATCCCGAGTTTTGATTATATAATGAAAATACATCTCTTGATGAAATGCTTTGATAAATATTATTTTATCATATTTTGTTGTTGGGAACAAATTCCGCAACTCTTTTAAATCAAAAGGATTTACTCTGAAATTATTTTCAAAAAAGCATAAATGAAATCGGTCTTTTCTGGCCGAGATTTTGGGGATGTCACTGTTGGTATCAGTGCATTAGTTTAAGCGAACTAGGAATTTGTAGGATTTCTAGACTTAAACTTAGAATGCTAAGTGAAGGTTGTTAGATGTGTGTCTGTTATATTTCAGACACGAGCACTAGTTTATTTTAGGAAAGTTGCATAAAATGCTTTTATGTGCTAAATGTTATATGTTGCCATATATGATATTATTTGTTTGGATATATAGTCTGTTGCCAACCGAATCTGAAAACCTTATGTGTTTAGGATTCTCAGCGTATGTCTACGGTATTAGAACTAGAATGTAAATGTTTCGAAGTAATAAGGATGATTTTAATATCTATCGTGAATGAGGATCTAATTTCACCTTATTCGGTGTATAGATCAAAAATGGTGAGAACAAGGAGTGACATTGGAAACGCGGATGAAAATAGGAATCAATCACCAGTGATTGAGAAAATACATGTTCTAGCAGCAGCACTATAACCAATAACAATGGCTGGGTGCAAGCCATGATTCGGGCTATGTTAGCCGAACTAAGGGATGAAATGCGACAGATGTTGCATGATAATAGGGATGAACCTATCATACCCATCGAGGAACCTGAATTGATTCCCGAGTAATTGGAGGAAGGGAACAATAGTTGCATTATGAGTCAAGTTGGGACTCAAGGAGAACGAAGGAATGACCTGGAAAGGAGAAACAACAAGGATGGGCAAATGTACAAAAATTTGTTGGGCGCCAAGCCGCCAAGTCTTTCTGGAAGCCCAAAGCCTGTTGAGATTATGGATTGGATCTCCAATATGGAGATGGTATTTGAAAGTTACGACTGTAGCAACAAACAGAAGATTGTCTTTGCAGTTAGACAACTGAAGACTAGAGTCTTGAGTTGGTGGAAGTTGTTGGCAGATACTATGCCACGAGGAGAAGCACTGAAAATGTCATGGGATGAGTTCTTAGAACAGTTAAGGGTGCAGTATTGTTCAGAGATAGATCTGATTGATCTGAACAATGAGTTCCAAAACTTGAAGAAGGGGAGGATGAGAATAGATGACTATGCTATAACATTCACTGAGAAGATGAAGTTATTTCCGTACCTAGTGCCAACAGAACTCTCCAAGATTGAGAGGTTCGCTAATGGACTGCCTACCAACTTTGGCCCGACAGTCAAGATGGCAACCACTCTGAAAACTTCTGTTCGAGTAGCTAAGAATGTGGAGGCCCAGCAGAAGGAAAAGGGTCTGGAAAGGATAGAGGTTGGTGAAAAGAGGAAGTTTGATGGACCTTCAGGGTCCATCAAGAAAAATAAGTTCTCGAAGTCTAGTTCTAGAGAAGGAGGAGGGGAAGCGAAATGGTGTGAAAAATGTAAGAAGAAGCATCATGGAAAATGTGAGGTAGTGGCCACATGTTTTAAATATGGAAAGCCAAGGCACTATGCCAATGAATGCACACTTACCAAGAAAGTTTGCTATGGTTGCGGTGAGGAGGGTTACATCTCAAGGGATTGCCCGAAGAAGAAGAAGGCAACTAGACCCAATATTCCGCCAAATTCGAAGGCGAGAGCATTCCAGATGACACTGGAAGCTGCTAAAGATGAAGCTGATGTCGCTGCAGGTACCTTTCTCGTAAACAAATTGCCTGCCCAAATTTTATTTGATTCTGGAGCCAACTACTCCTTTATTTCGCATGAATTTGGTAGAAAACTAGCTTTGCCTGTTGATAGACTAGATAATGCCTTATTAGTCGAAATTGCTAGTGGCAAGTTTGTACCTGTTAGCCATCGTATGAAAAACATCTTAATTGACTTGAATGGGAATAACTTCCACGAGGAATTATTGCCTATCGAACTAAATGGTTTCGACATCGTGCTTGTAATCGATTGGCTTAGCGCTTTTACGCTGAGATATTGCGCAAGAAGAAGATAGTCAAAGTAAACCCGCCTGGGAAACAGTCGTTTATGGTGTATGGAGATAAACGCAGAGTAAATTCTGGAATCATTTCATTAATGAAAGCCAGAAAGTGTTTGGCCAAAGGATGTACATCGTATCTAGCATTCGTGATCCATGCTAAGAAGGAGAAAAAGGAGATGCGGAGCATTCCTATCGTATGTGATTATCCGGAAGTATTTCCCGAATATCTTCCCGGATTACCACCTGATAGACAAGTGGAGTTTAGAATAGACTTGTTATCAGGGACGACACCAATAGCAAAAGCACCTTACCAATTAGCACCGACAGAGATAAA